AGCCGAAAAAAAGGTAAAAGGCACCGGTTCAGGCTTCAAACCGGTGCCTATTGTGCTGAAATAAAAAATAAAAAAAAGCGCGCCATGGGTTTTTGGCACCGGTTAACCGGTGCCATACCTCTTAATAGCCACCGGTTTTGAACCGGTGCCAAATCTTCTGAGGTTTGGCATCCCTCAAATACCTAACGGTTCAAAACCGGTGCCAAAGAGGGGGTTTGAACCGGTGCCTATTTGCCTTTTTCGCCTAGTGGACACTTTTTTACATTATTAGTATCATTTTTAAAGTGTTACTTTTTATTTCTTATGTAACACTTATTTATCTTTAGTAACATTTTCCAATCATATAGTATCACTTTATTCGACATTATGTATCACTTTTTCGAACTGATTGTTAGGTAACATTTTTCAATCATTTTTTGACATATAGTAGCACTTTATTCGACATTATGTATAACTTTTTGCAAACTAATGTAACACTTTATTATTATTAATATTACTATTGTTGTTGTTGTTGTTGTTGTTGTTGTTGTTGTTGTTATTATTATTATTATTATTATTATTATTATTATTATTATTATTATTATTATTATTATTATTATTATTATTATTATTATTATTATTATTATTATTATTATTATTATTGTTATTGTTATTATTATTATTATTATTATTATTATTATTATTATATTTTATATCTAATAAATAGACAAAGTCATACAACCTACAAAAAATTAGTGGGAAGCCGAGATACAATTTGGGCCCTCACTCCTCTAGTTATAGCAAATCCTATCCTAGTGAAGATATGAGCAGTAGCACGTGTCCCAATGTCTTGAGTCTTCGAGAACTTCTGGATCCGCTTCAGCAATGCAACTGCCTCCTTCTCTAATTCCCCAAGTGAAGAGAAAGAGAAAGGAAGGAAGCCATATCCAATTGCCCGACAACTGGATTTGTACTTGACCCGTCGTTCCCTCCAAACAACCCAATGTCAACCTCTTTTGTAGCTGAAATCCCAGATCGATAACAAACATCAACAAGGGTATCAAGAACAACATTATGCCGATGTTTAATACCCACCATACCAATACACGACAACGCGTGATCACTAAAAATATCCCCAGTGAAAACCCTTGAACAAGCAGAGCACGGCGTCGAGAGAACAATAAAACGCCCCAGCGGTAGCACAACACACATCTGTAAGTCTTTGCGTTCATCGTCTGACCCAACCCTGAAATAGGAACCGCTCGAAGCCTAGCGAAGGTGTGATCTCCCTGTTGCGATTTCCACAATGCTGATTGTCGAGGAGATAAAGAGAAGGTGGATTCTGTAGAAGCGGTAACCTTTGTGAAGTATATATCAGCCAATTTCTTCATGAGTTTAGGGGCAGCGACTTCACTAGGATTACTCAAAATGTCAGACTCAACCGTTCCATTAAATAAACTCAACGTATCTGCAAAGGCTCGACCAAGGCCAACTAACAACGCCAACATGCCATAGAAGCTTTGTCTGCAACCTAGCGGACTGTAACCAATAGGCAAGAAAAGCATAATGACGAATATCACCTGCGGAATAAACACCAAGTCCGCCAAACGCAAATGGTAAGGTGGCAAGCCACCACTTCTAATCGCCAATTATTATTATTATTATTATTATTATTATTATTATTATTATTATTATTATTATTATTATTATTGTTATTATTATTATTGTTATTATTGTTGTTATTATTGTTGTTATTATTGTTGTTGTTGTTGTTGTTGTTATTATTATTATTATTATTATTATTATTATTATTATTATTATTATTATTATTAATTATTATTGTTATTATTATTATTATTATTAATTATTATTGTTATTATTATTATTATTATTATTGTTGTTTTTGTTGTTGTTGTTGTTGTTGTTGTTGTTGTTGTTGTTGTTGTTGTTGTTGTTGTTGTTGTTGTTGTTGTTGTTGTTGTTGTTATTGTTGTTATTATTGTTATTATTATTATTATTATTGTTATTATTGTTATTATTATTATTATTATTATTATTATTATTATTCTTATTATTATTATTATTATTATTATTGTTATTATTATTATTATTATTATTATTATTATTATTATAACATTTACTACATTTTTTGTATATGTAAAATAATATTTATATGTACAACAACTATATGAATAAAAAATCAACAAATATGATAGAAAACAACTTGGATTGAAATACTTTCATAATTCTTACAAAAAAAATGCATAAACACCAATTTTAATGTTTTGCCAAACAATATAATAATCCAAAAACAAAGAAAATTAAGTTCGATCTCTAGGTTGGAAAAAGTAAGGAAAAACGAAAAACTTCAAAATTTCAAAAAAGTCAGCGATAGCAGTTAAGAGCAGTAATAACAGCATATAGCAGTAGCTACGCAGCTAGCTAGCAAAATGGCAACAACTACGCAACTAGCGTAATGGCAGAAGCAGTAACGGAAGCTGCTAGCAACAGTCTTTAACAACAAATTATAGTGGCAGCAACCAGCAGTGGCAGGTTCCAGCAGCAGTAGAGAGCAGTGGCAGCAACCAGCGGTAGCAGAGAGCAATGGTAGCAAACCTAAGTAGCAAGAGTCAGCAACAGATCAGACAACAGTAGCAGCGAAAAGCAGCAGTAACAACAAAAAAACAGCAGTAAAACAGCTAACAAGAGCAGCAAAACAGCGGTAAAAGTAAGATCTTGTAGCATCATCAATTGCTATCCCAATTCTTCATCTTGATCCAATTGATCCTAAGTGTGAAAGCATAATATATCAAACAACTAGAACAAAAATGAAATAAAGCAATGATAAGAGTTAGTGCTTTTTAAAAGAGAATATATTAATCATTACCGCATTTCGCTGTTGTTCATTAGAGTGTACATTGGGAATTTGATCTGTAATTTCTGGATTGGATGACACATTTTCATGTGATCGAGTCAAAGTATCCAACACTTCAGGATCTATTTGCTTGAGCGTCTTCATTAATTCTACTACAGTTTCTTTCACAATTTGGTCTTTATATATTTCAAGCTTCTCTCTCTAAATACTCTCTTCTCTCTCCTATAACAGCAGCCACCTCCCCGTAAACCTAGGTGCTCGTCCGAGATTCGGCACCGCAGTCGTTTCTCCGGCGAGTTTCATCCTTTTCTGCTCCCTCTAAGCCGCTCCGCCCTCCCCTGCTTCCCCTTCAATTCCTCGAATCGGTGAAGACCACCAGCGAGACTCCACGCCTCCTCTGCTTCCCCTTCAATCCTTCCAGTCAGTGAAGACCACCGGCGAGACTCCGCCCTCCTCTTCTTCTCCTTCTTCTCTTCTCAGCAGTCACCTTCTAAGCTGTTGTGTTCTTCAGTGTTGGGCGTCCCGTTTAAAGTTGCCCTTCAATCTCTTTCTTCTCTTTTCCCCTTTTAAGCTCAGTCTTGAAGGTGTTGTTGTGACCCTTTCCACAGCTAAGACGTTTTGAGAAGCCCCTTTTTACCCACCTTTGAAAGGGAGGTTCACAATCAATGGATTTCATCGGCGAAACAAGAGGCCTAAGGACTAAGCCTAACGCCGCTGTCATAAAGGTCATTGGTAATTTTGACCGTGACGAAAACGGTAAAGTTAGGGTTAAGGTTTCATGGGTCCTTGCGCTGGAGGGCTAGGCCTAACACCGCCGTCAGGAGTGGTTTGTGACGGAAACGGTGAAGTTAGGGTTAGGGTTTTGAGGTTCTTTGCTATTATAGTTTCGGATTTTTGGTCCGAGAGGGGTTCTATGATTTGGCCGTCTCACCTAAGTATGTTTTTTCTTATTGTTATTCAGAGTTTACTTTATTTCTTAAAATTATGTATGGTTTATTTTAGCCTTTCTTGGTTGTTGTCCTATTTTTCTAGTTGTTTTGGCTGTAGTTTATTGGATGGTTGTGTGAGGAAGGAGTTTGGATACTTTGTCAAGGAATTTGGTGTCGTTGTTGTGTTGAGAGAGGTAACATGGGTTGCCGTTGTTTGGGGGACGAACATGAAGTTGGCCATGGCTAGGGTGTGGTGTGTTTTATGGTGTAATGACTATGGTTGTCATTCTGCTCCTTTCATTGGAGTGATCATTGTGATCATTACTCTTGATTTTCTCTATCCAAAGCAGGCGCCCAAACTTTGTTTTGGGGTTTCAGGAGCCTCGATGTTGTTAAAGCTTTCTTGCAAACAAGAACTTATGAATGATAGGTCACATGTCCATGTGATCGGGTTGAAGGCCTTATGTGGTGATAAGTTGATCTCACTAGGTAAGTTTAAACTAGCCATGATCAAACAGTTTCGATTCTCTCAGCTCTCTTTATGTTTTAAAGTAGGTATCCGCTCTTTGGCCTATAAAGGGGTCATGATTCGCAACTTTTCCAGCCAACTCCAGTTATGTATTTTGGTTTTTAGTGTCGAAATTTGGAAAGGATTAAATGTTAAAAGCCATGTAGTAAGCTTTAGTTTTTATGTTGTATGTTGTAAACTCTGATTCTATTAAATATCATTTGCTTTTGTCAAAAAATAAAAATAAAAAGAACTCATCGGGAATTATTGGTTTGTTGCTCTTTCCCCTTAGTGAACATAACCCCGGTTGCTTTTTTCTATGGCCAAAGTTATTTGGTTTAGTCATTACTTCATAGTATGCAACATCTCCATCAATTTCAATTTGAATTTGGACCTCCTCCATCTTGTCCTATAATGGAAATATAACAAATAAATAACTAATGAGACAAAAAATCATATTATGAAAAATATGGAGACAACAAGACTTACAATGTTACTTTGGGTGGGCTCATAAGATGTTTTGTACTTTTTGTCTGCTTTCCTTTTACAACTTTCTTTGTACATGAGTGCTAATGATGGTGGCTTGTTTTCAGCACCTAGTTTTTGCTAGAATAAGAAACACATCCAAATAAGAATTGAATTAAGATTGGGTACATGGTCATAGTGAGAACGATAAAGAAGGAAGAACAGTATAAAAACATACCAATTTATGTTGTTTCCTCGCGAAAGTCATAGGACCCATAGTGTACCTATCTTTTTGATCTATACTTATTTCCCTTTTCTTTTTGCTGTCTTCCAGCATGCATGCATAGCACATAGTTCATAGCTTGACACATTTCATTTTGAGAGGATCATAAGCAATTGTAATATAATGGAAACAAACAACATAACTATACCTGGACTAGTTCTAGATTCCAAAATTCTAGTAACTCTTTGAAATGCGCTTCTGGAATTGTATTAGGTGGATTTGCCAACCTATCACCATCATTGTCATGCGGAGTAAAGTGCGTTGCCTTTACACTACATTTATATCTACGCCAAAGCTTTCCCACGGATGACAAAACACAGTCTTTACCTTCTTCCAAGATAATGTATTTCTTTTGTATTAAGTAAAATATGAAACAAGAAAATTAGGCAACAATCAATTAAGTCAGTCACTTGACATATAATAGAACATAAACTAATCAAATCACACCATTAAAAAAATACTTCCTGCTCATATCCTAAATGTTGAGGAAATGTGGCAATCTGAACAGGGATGAAAATGGGACTTGTTTGCTCATATCCGTCCTGTTCAATGTTTATAACTTATTGCAGCACACAAATTGGTTGATAATCCAGAAATTGGTAATCTTCGCTTCTGGAAAGGTTTAAAAATTGGAAAATTCTCAATAAAAATTGCTATGAGCATTATGAGAGAACAGAACAACTACCCATCAGAGACTAAATGGAGTTTGGCTTGGCAGATTCCTGTTCAACAGCGTATCCGCACCTGCAATCCATTACAAGGAACAACAAATATACTTGGCAGGCACCCTAGGCATGAAATCTTTGTGAGGTAGATAGCGTCACCTAGCAGCTAGTATGCTCTTAATACAGATGGATCAGCCAAGGGCTCTCTAGGATAGGTTGGTGGTGGTGGAATGATAAGGGACTGTGTAGGTGATTTTGTCAAGGGATTTGCAGCAAGCTTTAGCATCAAAACACAGCATTGCAAGTTTTGCAACAACACAAGCAAATAAATCCTAAGAAATCAGGGAGCAATCAATTATAGAATTTATAATTTTAGCAGGACAAATTCTAAAAAATTATACAACAAAGTTGAAGAAATCAGGGAGCAATCAATTGTAGAATTTTTGCATACCTTCATGTAACTCCAAATTTGTTCCTTGTCTGGAACATAATGCCAACTAATCTTATTCAACGACGCTAGAGAAGAATTACGAGCTAAAGTCCCTAAGAATCTTGTAAATGTATCTACAGTCTTATCATATGGACCAATAGGCTTTCCCATTTAATTAAGAACAATAGGCTTACGCTCTTCTAATGTCCATTCATGGACATCTTTACATATAGTTGGTCCTCTAGTTCACTTCCTTTTTGAAAGTACTACATGAACATTAACTCAACAAGGTCATTAAAATAAAAATTAAAATTAAAATGATGTATGACTCTTAACCTATCTATATTAAAATATTTAGGACAAAATTACAGTGATCGTTACCCATTTGTTCACTTTCGTGCTCCTGATTTACTAGTGGTTAATCTTCTAATCCTAGCTCCTCACCATTAAGAGTACTCAATCCATCAATAAACTCATCTTCTTCATTTACATAATGTTCTAAATTGCCTTCATTTGAACTCATATGATTCTCATAATCTTCCTATAAGTCATGTCCAAATCTTTGTGGTTGTGAAAAACTTTGCGCTTGTGAACTCCCTAAATGCACTTGTGAACTAGCCATGTTAAAAAGTCGTAGTTGTCGTCGTAGTAATAAATCACTTTGTATTGCTCTCCTCTCCTTTTCTAGCAATTGTGTTTGCATTTGCTTGTAAGCACTGAGTGAACCAGGAGCAACCACTGTCCTACTCTGCCCTATCTTAGTTTGGACACCATTCCTAATCTCAACCTCTTTCTCTTGCTGATTATGGACTGCTGATTTTTTCTGTGCAGTAGACTTGCCCAATTGGATTTTTCTTTGCGTTGAATCTCTCCCTTGTAACCCTTTATTTAAGTGTTGTCTCTTGGTGTTTTGAAGACACATCTTAGTTAGATTAGCCATTGGTACTGAAGAGACACCTGCCATATCCTTAATGTTTGTGGTTATCTTCCCTCTCAATGCCATAACCTGAAATAAAGTATTCATGAAAATCATTAAACGAGTATTACATTATTTTCTAACAATTATGATTCACAAAATTAAGCTGTCAAAAAAAAAAAAGAACCACCTTCTTTGAACGAGACCTCAAGTCTACACCGTTTTTCCTTATCTCATTTTCATCCTCTTCACTTGAGTGGTTCAGTTCACCCTTTTCATCAGGTATATACTCGTCCAAGTAAGTTTTTCCTTATCTAAGTAAGTTTCCAGGTAATACTTTTTTTAATGTTAAGGAAATTTATTTGAATTTTTTTTTTGTACTTAAGTAACTAGTGAAAGGTACAATCAGGGCTTTTTACAAAACCTAGGCCTTCAGACAATTAGATCAAGCAAAATATGCTGCTTGTTGATATTGGTGCATACTCTGGTTCATTGGTGCATAGTGCTTGTTATGCCTTAATTTACTGTTAGGCGCGATAATATAATACTGATTTGCAAATAGCATGAGGATTAGGATGATAATTAAGGATGAGAACATTTCCAATAGGCAGTACATATAACACACTTTTTTCAAAAGGAAATAATTATGCATGCATATCACAATTAATAAAAGCACATGAGCATAGAAAGAGCAAAAGAGCAATGCAATATGATACATAATAGTTTGATCAGCTTATACTCAACTCTGATCAGCTAATAATCTGAGGTAGATATTAATCTTGCTAATACTCATATACATGCAATGCAAGATAAATAAAGCTTATTCCGATCCACATCTGTTATGTTTGGAATTGCGTGAATACCTCATATTCAAACTGTTAGCAAGATTAATTTACCTCAAATGTTGCTTTATAAATTTTGCTAAAAGTCTGAGGCAAATTAATCTTGCTAGAGCTATAGTCTGATCAGCTATAATCATGAAATGTAAAGATAAAAGTGCAAAGAAATTATGTCAATAGTGGAAACTACCTCAGTGAAGCCGCCACAACTCGTCTGCTGCCCGAGCATTTAAATACCACACAGCTCAAAACTGCCAAATGTCAACTCTGTCACTATAATTTCAAACCTTAAATAATATCAAACCACTAACTTATAAAGTTCAAAATAAACAGAAAAATAGAAAACTTCAATAACAGTTCATCAAATCCAAAAAAAAGTTCAAATGAAGGATAAGTATTCTAAAAAAGTGATCATGTCACTCGATGGTTCCATCCAATCCCAATATGTGTCATCTATATCATAATTATCTTCATGATTATGATATTTCATTTCACTGTTCACAGGCACCTTAACTCTGTCAGAAGCAGCTTCTCTGCTCCAACTTTGGTGTTCATCATGATTTGTAGCCGGAATTACATCCTCTGCGGGTTCAATAACTTCATTCATATATGTGTGTCCAGATTGCCCCTCAGCATAAAAAAAGTCTCTTGGAAAATTTCGGTTCACATGATGCAAATCTTATTCAAGGCCATCTTGAGTGTAGAACACTTGATGCACTTGTGATGCCAAGACAAAAGGGTCATCTTTAGAACAAAATTTCTTAAAGTTGCGAGTGAGTCCATAATCATCTACTTCCACATGGAACCAATCACACTCGAACAACACAACACTAAATGTACTCCAATAATCGACCTCAATCATTGATTTTATAGCCCCATAATATGTGACATTACCAAGAACGGGATTGTGGTCCTTGCTACTCGTAAAGCTTGGAGTCAGAGCTGTCAAAGAGACTCCACTATTTTGAGTTTTACACCTTTCATCATGATCTCTAGTGTAGAACTTATATCCATTACAAAAATATCCAGTGTACCTCCTTGCAATAGTAGAAGGACCTTTTGATAGCCACTTAATATGGTCCGGGACATTATCCACCACAACCTTTTCTCTAAACCAAACCATGAATTCATTGCTATGCTCTTGCGCCTCTTTCCACCTTCTTTTTCGTTTGTCTCTATACTTCTTCTTCACAAACTCTTCATGTTCCCTTTAAAGTATTAACCATATAAGTAAGGTAATAAAACAATATAAATTTAAACACAATGGACAAGATATTAAAAGAGTTACTCTCTTGATGTAATTCTCAACTTGGTCATCTTGACAATTAAATAACACATAACGATGTGCTAGAGCCATTGTGTCTAGATCAAGAGTGTATGCCTTCCCTTTCTTCTTCCCTTTCTTTTTCCTCCCAATAGGATAACCTACCTTAGGGAATAAAGGTGATTCTTCATCAATTTCATCAGTTTTCTCTTGACATTTGTTAAACCACTTAGATTGCTTATTTACACTAGCATTCAAATACCTATACAAAATATCAAGCACTCTTCAGCCAAATAACCTTCCACTATAGAAGCCTTAGGCCAACATCGATTTTTAACATATGATTTTAACTTTTCGAGGTACCTTTCTATAGGGTATGTACATCCACCAATCACACACCGATCCACCACGCTTGATTTCATCAACCAAATGAATCGGTAAGTGGATCATTATGTCAAAAAAAGATGGTGGAAATTTTCTTTCTTGTTCACAAAGATTCTCAACAATTCCTGCTTGAAGGCGATCCAAATCTTTCGGATTGATGACTCTCTTGCATATTCCTCTAAAATAGCCACTCAATCTCATAAGAGGTAAAGCAACATGCTTTGGTAAAGTTTTTCTAATTGCTGATGGAAGCAAATTTTGCATTATTATATGAGCATCATAACTCTTGTACCCTGATATTTTCCCCTCCTTCACTTGCACACACCTTGCTATATTTGATGCACAACCTTGGGGCATCTTTGCCTTCTTCAAAACACTACAAAATATGCTTTACTCTTCCTTTGTCATTAAGAATGATGCTTTGGGAAGCAAAACATACCGCTCGTCACCTGCATCTACAGGATGTAGTTCTTCCCTTATACCCATTTCTTGCAGATCTAATCGAGCCTTATGATGATCTTTTGACTTTCCAGGTATGTCTAATAAAGTTCCGACCACATTATCACAAACGTTTTTTTTTTCGATTTGCATGACATCCAAATGATGACGACACCCCAATCTTTCTAATAAGGCAAAGTAAGGAAGATGGAGGACTTTCTCCATGGACAATCTACATATTTCTTCTTTGGTTGTAACTTTCCAAACTTGTTTTCCAGTTTTCCAACAAGCTTGAAATTTGGTCCCCTATTAAAGGATCTGGAGATTTCCTCTCTTCCTTTTCCCCATTAAAAGACTCCATATCATGCCGCCAAGGATGATTTTCATCTAACCATTGATGATGAGTCCAATAGCAAGATTTGTTACTATTACTCAAGTGATGATGATCAGTCTCGTAGTGACAATAGGGGCATGCAAACTTCCCTTTGGTGCTCCAACCAAATAACATAGCATAACCTGGAAAATCGCTTGTCGTTGATTGTAAAGCTGCATGCATCTTAAATGTTTGACACTTCTCCGCATCATAGTTGTCCAACCCATACTCCCACAAATCTTTAAGTTCTTAAACCAATGGTTGAAGGTAGACATCAATGTCATTTCCTAGAGAAGTGGGCCTGGGAATAAGGAGAGATAACATTAATAATTATGGCTTCATACACAACCATGGTGGTAAGTTGTAATTAATGAGAACAACAGGCCATGTACTATGTTGGGTGCTCATAGTTTGAAATGGATTGAATCCGCCACTTGCAAGGCCCAAACGAACATTACATGTCTCATTAGCAAAATCTGGGTACTTTTGGTCAAACTCTTTCCATGCCCCACCATCATCAGGATGCCTCAATAACTCATCTTTCTTTCTTTCTTCATCGTGCCACCTCATTACCTCAGCTGTTTCTAAACACATGTACAACCTTTAAAGCCTTGGTTTAAGAGGAAAATGCCAAAGAACTTTTGCAATGACTTGGTGGACTTTCTAGATGGTTGATTGCTAATATCTTCTTAGTATTCAGTCTGTGTTTCTTTCCACCTTAGAGCATGACAAACATGGCAAGACGTGGAAGCTTCATGCTCCTTCCAATATAGCATACAATCATTATGACATGCATCAATCTTGTCATAATGAAGGCCTAGATCTTTTATCAATTTATTTGCCTCATTATAAGAGTTAGGCAAATTGGATGCATCAGGTAACACTTCTCGAAAAAGCTCCAAAAATTTTGAAATTGTTATATTAGTTAACCCATGAGTACACTTCAAAAGGTAAAAACGAATAAGAAATTATAGCTTTGAAATTTTTTTGCACTTGGGATATAGCTCTTGGTTTTCCATCTTCAACTAACTTATAGAACTTTTCATACCTTTCTGCCACATCTCTACGAACATCATATATCAGACGTTCAATATCATAATGCATGTCTTCAACATCCCTCTCAGTATTTGATGTTGATGACATGCCCTTTTCATAACAATGCCATTCTTCAGTGCCAGGCTCGATCCCTTTTGCAATCAAATGATTGAACACTGTCTCTTTACAATGCCAAAAGCGGTGATCAGACACCTTACACGGGCAAGTAATTTGATCTCCAATTGCCCGTGTAGAAAACGATTTATCTAAATAATCCTCTACACCTTTCTCATACTCATGACTAGATTGTAAAAAGTTGGTCCAACTACTCATTTCGTCTCCTTTATCAAAATTTAAACATAAGTGAATTTATTGATTTAAAATATTGGCATATAATTTTAACATGTCTAAAAGGAATGACAATATCCATAGAAACAAACACCCATAAATTTAGACATGTAGAAATAATAATTTTCCAATGGAATTATTTTATAGACTATTAACCAGATTCTACTCTAGGGACTTTGGAAGTAGCAAAAATGATTTTTTCACCCATTATTACATTACAACATAATATGATGTATATACACTAAAAGATTTAGGAAGAAAAATAACGTAAAGAGGTTCAAAAGTTCTGCACACCATCTACATGAAAAAACCTCAGTTCATACTTAAGAAATCTGCAAGATACTCTAATTCAATGCTTGCTCTTCTTCTTGCAATTATCAATCTGCTTAATTTTTCAATGAAACCTCTACTTTTATAAGTATAAATTCCTTTTTTTTTAATTGTTGCCTCAATTTCTTTTCATTCTGGTATATGGTGGCATATACTATGTTAATTTAACTAATCAATTCAAAAAATGCCATGTTTTTCCAGTTTACTAGCATCAGGTCTAGCTCAACTTCTTTTACTGCAGGTAGCACGCTTACATATATACTAAGTATAGGAACGAAATTTTGAAAGGTTTTCTCTATTTTCAGAACTTATTATATCAAGTTATCAGTTTTTTCCTTCCGATCAATCGGAAATGTCAGAATATATCGTTTCATTTTCACGGATCGAAGACATAATACTCTGCCGTTTCAGATTAGTTTTTACACTTTCTTTATTCATTTCAATGTTGACAATAACAATACATTCTAGCTAATCAATAATCACCTTGGTGAAATAAGAAGATGTAGAGCTGATGGCTGATCTTGTACTCAATAGTACAATAACCATTAGACTAAAAAAATATAACAATGTTCGTTCGGTTTTTACTCTACAACATGCATGAACTCCAAAGCCAATAACCATTCACAATTCAATCGAAATACCCAATAACGCACAATTAAAATTCAGAATCAACAAACCAAACTCGAAATACCCAAATTAAAATTTTCAATAAAAAACAAAAAATAGAACCACATCAAACACAAAGCCAATAACCATTCACAATTCAATCGAAAAATAAACGCTTAATTCATACATTCTTGAAAATTAAAGATTAAATAACCAAAAAAATAAAAAAACATCCATCGCAAATCAGAAAGTACCTGAAATTAGAATCACGAATTCAATGAAACCCAATATCACGTTGAAATTGCCCGAGACGACTTGATTTCTGATGAAATTGCGTGAGAGGACTGCTTATCTGAAGAAACTTCTGCTGAAATTGTGCGAGAAGACTAATTTTCTGATGAAACTTATGATGAAATTATGGAGACAACTGATTTCTGCTGAAACCTAATCGATTATCGCCGATATGGCTTGTTAAATTGGGAATGAAGATGAAATAAAATTTTGACATTTTCTTTTCCTTTTTTGGTTTTTTGATTAATTTCTGATGAATTGGGAATGAAAGTTTCTTTTAGCTTTGGCGGCTAATTAGCTTTTTTAATGAATTCACATAAATTTGGGGATTAACACTTGTATTTTTTTTTTATTTCAAAGTTTATTTATTTTGTTTTTCCAAAAAAATAAGGTAACATCTATTAGTGTGACCATAAAATGCTACCTATTTTAAAAGTGTTATTTTGAAATGTTACTGATGTTAAATGTGTTACATTAAGTGTTACATTCTAATAAAGTGTTACCAAAGTGTTACTTATAAATCTAATAGTTTGTATTACAAGAAGTGTTACCAATTATGTGTTACATAAACTCAATTATGCACTAGTGAAAAGAACCCCCAAAACTATTTATAACACCCCAATTACATAGTAAACTCCGCAAAAGAAAAGTCACAAAAGCTATCGGGCGCGGACGCGCCAAGACCTGGAGAGGCCACTCCAAAGGACTGGAGAGGTCGCGCCATGGCTTGGAGAGGCCGCTCCAAACTGAGTGAAATCAGGGTAGGAACTCTAGTAGCTAGGTGGAGAGGTCTCTCCAAATAGGTGGAGAGGGCGCGTCAGGTGGAGAGGCCGCGCACCTATATTGGAAAGGCCTCTCTGCACAAAATTCTTGAATCTGCCCAAGGGAGGCAGTAGCTACAATAACAAGGTGGAGAGGCCTCTCCACTTACCTGGAGAGGCCGCGCCTAAGGAGAGGCTGCTCTACTACCGTTTTCTCTTTCTTCTTGATTTGGGCTCCTTTGCCTTGGCTTCTTTCCATCATTTTTTTGTTTCCAACTTTGGTTTATCATCCATAGGCTTTAATTGGTCGTCTTTAGACCTAAAATCTCAACAAAAACACTAACAACCCGTGAAGCATAGGATATACAAAAATTGCTTAATAATAGAGTAAAAGTGAACCAAAACACCGGTTTATCAAGTAAACAAGGTTCAATAGCACCCTAAAATAATAACAAATACAAAGCTATCAGCGGGTTTGGTGGTTTGGGGAAGGTACGCCGGGAAGGGGAGTGTCGGCGCGGGGGAGGAGGAATAGGCGCGGCGGTTTAGGGCGGGAGATACTTGCGCTGGGCGTTGGGAGAAGGCTGTCGGAAATCTGGCTGGGGGGGTTGTCGTGGGTTGGGGCTGATGGTTTTTTGTTTTAGTTTTTTGTTTATTATTATTTTCAGCTAATCCAGGTTACCGGTCACTTGGGACCAATTTGAGCGAATGACCCTCAAAGTTGGGATTATTAAGAAATAATCCAAAGTTGGGATTATTTAAAATTAATTCAAAGTTGGGATTATTAAAAAATAATCCAAAGTTGGGATTATTTAAAATTAATTCAAAGTTGGGATTATTTAAAGTGAATACGTGAAAGTTGGGAGTATTTTTACCAATTTCTCCTGTTTTTTAATTAATCCGAACTTTATACTCCTTTCCCTCATATTACTCCCAAGAGACTAGTGACCTGTTGAGTAGGTAATATTTTTTTTTAATTTTAACACATGTCAGCAAGTGATAGGTTAAAAAATAAATTAAAAAAAAAGATTAAAAAAAAAAAAAAAAAAAAAAACCAAACAAAACCACAACCCCAAGTAGGGGTGTACAAAAACTGGACCGGACCTGAAACTGGACCTAAACCGACCTGAACCGGACCGGACCTGACCCGGACCAGTTGATTCAGGTCCGGTCCCGGTCCTTGAAAATCCAGGTTTCCGATTCCGGTACGGACCCGGTCTAAACCCGGGGTTTTCAGGTCCGGACCTGAAACCCGGGAAAATTGTACTTTTTAAAAAAAAAAAAAAAAAAATTCAAAAATCAAACTATGTAAGTATGAAACCACGCTGACTCTTCACTTTTCTCTTTCATTTCTAAGTTCTAACCCTAAGTGCTAACTCCCTGTCTCCCACACTCCCTCACTTTCAACTTCTCAAAATCTCAAGTCTCATTGAGTCACTGTCTCTCCGCCCACCGCCCAAGATCGATCAATCCAAAAACCCAAAAATTAAAAATAAAATTCAGTAGTAGTGCTAGAAGTAGTAATTGTATCAATAATGAGGCTGTGATGATAATTAATCGTTTAATAGCAATCAATTTTCAATTTAGTTTTTGTGGGCATTTCTTGTTTTGGTTAATTTTCCATTTGGCTTGGCAGCAATTTGATGGGTGTTTGCATGTTGCTGGGTTGAGATTTTCTCTCTCCTCAAATGCGCATCTTTTCAGGTTTGATTTGCCGACATTGTTGATTTTTCCCCTGCTAGATTTGCCACACCAAATTGTTTGTTTGATGCTATGCCGATCTGAGCCTCCTGTCAAAATAATTTCTTTTTTTGGTCAGTATTTAATATTAATCATGATAAAATTTGTTTAGATGATTTGAAGATGGACAAATTTGAGGTTAAGGTTGTTGGATTTTTTAGTCGTTGAAAGTTAGATATTAAAGTTTGGTTCTTTATGCTTGAATTTGATGAACAGAACTAGAGTGACAATTGCAGAGATAAATTGGCAATCTTATGAGGTTAGAATCATCTTAAAGTTATCGTAATTCTGGATCACAACCTTTGAAACAGGTTATTTATTAAAAAAAAACGAAAAAAACACAAAGCAGGTTCATTCAGGTCCAAACCTGGACCGGACCTGATTTTTCAGGTCTGGCCCGGAACCGGACTTGTTAAATCAGGTCCGGTCCCGGGTCCTCAAAATTACCTAATTCAGGTCCCCGGTCTAAACAGGTCCGGTCCGGTTTTGGACCGGTGTACACCCCTAACCCCAACCACCCATGGCCAACCCCCTGCCAGCCAACCCCCTTTCCCTCCCCCGGTGCTAGTGCTGCCCGACCACCCTCCCCTTTCCCCTTAGCCATCGTCGTTGCCATAAAAAAAAAATAACATCATTCCTTTTCCTTTTCTCTCTTTCTCCTCCCTGTACCATCGTCGTTGTCAATGGTGACGGCGAAGCCTTGAGGACGATAGTTACTTTGCTATTGTTGTGGCTAAGACATGTGATAGATGGTAATGGTGGGAATTTGAGTGGGATAAGTTGTTATGGTTAGGGTTTGGGATTTGGGATTTGGGGGTTGGAATTTTGGGGATTTTGCTGGATTTCGTGGTAATCGAAGGTTGCCGGAGTTGAGTTTTCGCTAGTGATTTAAGGGTTTTTTGAGTGGAGGGTGAGGGGTTATGGGAGGTTATAAAGGAAGAGGGGAGGGTGGTCGGGCAGCGCCAGCACTGAGGTAGGGTAATGGGGTCTTGGCGGCAGCCGACACTTGGGGGGAAGGGGTTGGGCTGGCCGTGGGTGGCAGGGGGCTAGCCGTGGGGTGACTGGGTAGGTGCCTTGGTGTTTTTTTTTATTTATTTTTATTTTTTTTATATATTTTAAAACCAATCCTATGCTGACACGTGTCTGATAACTTGTAATATTAGGTTGGAGGGAGTGTTATGGGTGGGCAGAGTACAAAGTTTGGATTAATAAAATAATTCGAAGTTGGGATTATTTTGGGCGAATGAGGCAAAATTAGGATTAATCATGACGCTTTTTCTTATAATATATTGATGCCTAACATTCTCGTATGTGTTTGCGTTTACAGTAGCTTTAATGTAAACCGGAGTATAAGTTAGTTTAAATGTACAATTTTACATACTCTCTCAGTATTTTTTATACTCCCTCCGCCCGTAGTTATGTACAACAAAGGACATATTTTCGGAATCCTAGGAAAAACTTTTAGGGGAGTGTTAATTGAGTTTTGTGGTGGGTTTAATTAATGAGAGAGAAAGGTAAAAATACAAAATTACCCATATGATGATATATATAAACTAAACATTTAAGTGTTGAAAAATAAGGGTATATTTGGTATTTGTAGTGTGAACACAAATATTTGTAGTGGGTTTTAGGTAGTGGGTAATAGTACAAGGAATGGTGTCCTTCCAACAAGTGTATTCTTCCGATAGAGGGTTCAGAATTATTACAGAGCTAATTCTTCAGTAAGGTCAAGTGATCGGAATGCCTAAGTGGAGACCGCTTCCGATCAGTAATATCAATGTGCAATTGATGTTACAGCTTAATCTTAACTGAACCCTTCGGGTCGAACCCAATCGAATCACCGATCCGAGACGACGAATTAATCCGAAAGGATTTAATGAGTCGACAGAGTTTTACGAATACAGACGTTGGAAATCGAGCCTATGGCGTCGAGACCGAGCGTCGCAAAATCACAAGCAACAAGTATGAGCGTAGTCGTAGCTAGGCTAGCCTAGCTCATCGCAAGCCTAGGCGCACCATGAGTGTGCTAGGCGCACCATGGTGTGCTAGGCACTATCGCAGCCTAGGCGCGGCCTGGCAGCCTATCTCAAGCAATAAGCGCACCAGGCGCACCTAGCAAGCCATCGCAGGCACCAGGCGCACCTGGAAACCTATCGCAGGCACCAGGCGCACCTGGCAACCTATCGCAGGCACCAGGCACCCCTAGCAACCCATCGCAAGCATTGGGTGCTGCGTGCGTGCGTGCCTGGCATGGCAGCACCATCGCAGGCACCAAGTGCTAGCATGGGTGCCTGCCTAGCATTGGCGCACCATGTGTGTGCTGGCTTGTGTGCTAGCCTTCGCATGGCAGCACCAAGCATCGCACCATATGCGAGGGTCTGGGCGCCAGCATAGTGCTAGGCCACGCACAGCAGCCCAGCATCACCACGCACCAAGGCTGCTGTGTGATGCGTGGGCATGCGTGTGGTGCGAGGCCAATGCACGCTGTGCATGAATAGTGCGCATGGTGCGTGGCTAGTGCGAGAGGTGCTGCGAAGGTGTGTGCGTGGTGTGCGAGGCAAAGGGGGCCAACATGCGTGGCTCGCTAGCAGCACGCATGCTGGGTGTGCGAGCATGTGCGAAGGGTGAAGCATGGATGCGTGTGGTGCGTGGGATGCCAGGGGCAGCAGCAGCGCCAGCACACACCAGCGCCCAGCACTGGCACGCACTAGCACCAAGCATCGCCGAGCACCAAGCAGCACTGCCTGGCTGGGATGCGAAGGTTGCTGGTGCTAGCTAGGCTGAGCATGCTAGTAGTGCCAGCTGGCTGCCAGCCCAGCAGCATGCTTAAGGCGGTTTGTGAGGGAGTGGGGACCAAGGCTTTGGGAAAGCCTTGGGGAGCAAGGCAATGGTCCCCCCACCCCTCCATGGTCCTCACCTAACCTTCTGTCTCCCTTTGACACTTGTTGCATTGTGATTAGATTTATTTATTAATTTATTTTAGAAATAAATTAATTAGCAAATTATACATTCTCC